CCTACTCTTTTCATTGTTCAAAAACCTAGCTGCATATTGCATTATTTTTCTTTTCACTGTACCTGTATAATTCACGTATCTATATATGTGAAATTTTTCATAACTAAAAAATTTAAGGTCTCATGTCATTAAGTGTAATTGGAAAAAAAAGATTGAGGCCATTATAAAAATACTCTATTTCTCTTTTTACCTCCTTCTACTCCCCATTGTATGCTTTTCTCAGAGAAAGAAAGCTCTTTTTGTCAAGGTTAAAGTACTTTTTTACTGTATATTTATTAACATGGCAGGAATTTTTAGAGGTGAAAAATAACTCAACCTTAATTTGGCCATTCTTAACGCAACATTTGGTTTCATTTTTGACTACTCCTTTTCTAGAAAAATGCCACATATATAGGTATTTTAAAACAATTGTAACAGTAAGGAATATAGTTTCATAGTTCTTTTGTAAAGCATGCATTATATTCTGTCAGATCAACATGCTGTAATTTGCTTGGTCCATACCCTATTCTCAGACATTTAGGTTGTTCAGAATTGGTCACCTGATACTCACTGAATATCTTCATGTATTTAATTTTTTGATGAGTTATTTCCTTGGAATGAATTCTTTAAAGTAGTGATTGTGTCAAAGGACATAAACATCTGTGTTGCTCTCAATGTGTATTAACATTGTCTTTTTTCAGCAGGATGATTTCTCCACAATTTCACTAGCATTGGGTAGATCATCCATTCCACATCTCATTTGCCTTTATGGCCTTCAGGTTTCTGTTTTATTAATTGCCCTTATAACATATTTCACCTTTTTATTCAAGTGATACCTTGTGCTCACTATGTTGAAACTCAGGCTTTATCATCTACTACTCTCCAAAGCAACTGTTTGGCTAGACTTTTGTCATTTCTGTTTTTGGTTTTATCATTTTATCTAGGTATCCAGACTCTAAACTTCATTTTTCATGGCTTGGGAAATTTTAACCTTTGAAATATTTTTCAAATCTATCTTCTTTTCCATATCCTTAAACTTCAATGTGTATTGAATCAGCCATAGCATGTTCTTGAATAATGTGGTTACATTCAATGTTGTTTCATTTGAATATTGATATGATGCCATAGGAACTTAACTGTTGCTCATGATAAAAATGGTTTTGTTATGTGTCATTTCGTTCAAAGTTGCAGAACCTATCCATGACCTCAAGTGAGGACTTATAGTGTCCTTGACCTGACTTTTCAAGACCTTAGGCTGTACTTTTCAAACTGCGAGTCTCAAATAACTTAACAGGTTTTGAAATCAGTTTAGTAGACTTTTACCAGAATTTACAAAAATAAAAAATGTCACAGTGTATCTCTTTATATGTTATGAAATTGTTTCTCTGTATATTTTATTGTGGTCCTACTTTTCTGTGGATATATATACCTTGCCCCTCAGTGATATAGAGACTGTTATATGGACCACTTTTTAGTTAAACAAAGATGGTGAGCATTTCAGGTCATTAAGTAATTCTTGAACATTAAATAATTAAGTTTTTAATAATAAAATTGTTTTTATTTACCCACACTAAGAAAAAATATTTTAATGTATCAGTTTGACATAACATTTTTTGCTTACTATTGAAATTATATATTTTTTTATGTTTCTTGCTCATATGCCTATCATATTGTCTGTGACTTAAATATTTCCAGATTTTCATTTATTCTTTTATTTTGGGAGATTTTTCATCAAGTTAAAGTCTCTCTTTTTAGTTTTCTCTCTTCAGTATCATGTGCAGAGGGCTTTCATACTCAAAGATGATATTTATGTTTGTATAGATACTATTTTCATACTATGTGGTTTCATTTTTGAAAATTAAATAGTATTTCATATTATTATTAAGTGATTACAGATGTGGTGAATTTTTAAATGTAGTGAAAAATCTTTCATAATATCCCATCCTAAGAGAGTCAGTTATTAAAGTTTTATGTCTTCCTAGCATTTTTTTCTTGGCATGTAGCATTACAATTTTGGGATCATGTTAATATAATTTATAGTTTATATTATCCTATGATTAGGCATTTAAACTAATGTCTTTTTTTTGTTGTAATAAATCTCCATGAATGTTAATAGATGATACTCTTTCCCTCATTTCTAAGATAAATTCTTAGAAGTGAGATTCCTGGACCTAATAGTATGTATATTCTTTTTTTCCCTTCTTTTAAGTATTTGTTTTTTAAAAGATTTTATTTATTTTAGATAAAGGAGAAGGGAGGGAGAAAGAGAGGGGAAAAACATTAATGTGTGAGAGATAATGTTGATTAATTGCCTCTCGCACACCCCCAGCTGGAGACCTGGCCCAAAACCCAGGCATGTGCTCTGACTGGGAATTGAACCAGCGACCTTTTGGTTTACAGGCTGGCACTCAGTCCACTGAACCATATCAGTCAGGGCTAAATATTTCATTGATGTGTTATCACAGTGTTTTTCCTCTTTGCCCCTCACCAGCCATCCCTCCTTCCATTCCTACAGTTAATCCCCTCACTGTTGTCCATATCCACGGGTCATGCATATACATGTTCTTCATGCATATACATACCACTCCATTCACCTACTATGTATATATTTGGTCCACCCACCTTATTCCTCAAACTAGAAACTTGAAGTGTCCATCTTTCTCACCTGCCACATTCAGCCTCTCATCAAGTGTTCTTGATTACATTTCCGAATAATTTTTACATGATACACTACTTTCCATCTAAACTGCTTCCACCCTAATCAAAGGCATAATCTTCTCTGGCCTGGAGTTGTACTAGCAGTTAAAGGGGTCTTTCCACATCTCATACCCCACTCTGAACCATTTTCACACATCAACCAGAGTCATCCTTGAAAAACATATCTCTAACATAAATCTTAACAGTTCTGTTCAAAATCCTTCACTGCTTCTAAATGCAGACCCTTTTTATAATCTACAAGGCCCTCTAAGATTAGGCCTTTACCTGAATAATCCACATTATTCCCTTTTTATCACTATGCTTTTTCATAGCTTGAAAACCTCAGTTTCTAATTGCAGCATTTTTTGTTACATCTGTCACCTGCACTAGATGAGTCCTACCAGGGCAATGTTTTCAGTTCTGTTCCCCATTGTATATCCAGAACTCAGCAGCAGTGAGGAGCTCACTGCATATTTTTCGAATAATTTAATGTTTCCACTTACTCATTAGATGAATAGAACCAATTTATACAATTATCAAAAGTATGATTTGGGGTTAATTTTTTTGTATTTAAGTTTGTTTATTTTGGTATATGGTGCAAGATGAAGGGACTTGATTTTTTCCCAGTTAGCCACTTGTCCTATAACCTACCATTATTCAGCCTTTTTCATTTCTTTAAAATACTATATTTATATAACAATAAATTCTTATGTGTTAAACCTCTTTCTGGGCTGGAAACCAGAAAGGCCACATTTGTGCTGCCTGTCACCTACCAGACCCAATAAGCAGAGACAGGGATTGAATCTTCATGGGCATTTTATTCACATGGCCAGCGATCTGAGAAGATGGTGGGTTTGTACCCTAACAGACCATCTTATGTACCCTTTCAAGCCACCCTTTTTTATAATGGGGCAAAACTGTAGGTAAGGGATTTTGGAATTCAAGGGAAAAAATTGTAGATAAGGAATTTGGAATTCAAGAAAGGGGGTTAATTAGGCAAAGGCTGCAGTCTGGCAATTTCTCTAACAGCCTTTCATTCCCCAACCAGTGATTTTCTTTATCTGTGTCCTGTGTCCTAGGAGATTTTCTTTATCTGTATCCTGCAAGGCAGACTGTCTCTCCCTGGGACACAAGGGACTCAGATACCACCTTGATTGCTTATGGTCTCTTCTAGAGCACAAAGGTCAATGGCTTGTGCTCTCTTGGAGTCAGGGGGGCCATCCTGGGTTTGAAGAACCTGCAGTTCTTCAAACAATAGTTTTTTTACATGCATTAACTACTAGGCTTATTAACTATTACCTCAAACTAAATTTTTTGACTCTTGAGTTCCCCAAACTTTCTGTTCTATAACATTGCTGTCAACCTGGGTGCCATGATCATGCTATTTTAGTTACTTTTGCTGTACAGTATACAATTATTAGGCAAATTTCTCTTCATTGTATTACTATATTTCCATCCTGTATTCTCCCATATGAACTTTTAACTATCTTGCTAAGTTCCAAAATACAAAATCCTATTGGAATTTCAATTGAAATTGTATTGACTTTACAAAGTAATATATTTACTAATATTTAGTATTTCTATCTACAAACATTTCTGTTCTTTGTCTTTTTCAGGATTTTATACTTCTCTTTATGGAGCCTCAAAATTTCTGAATTTTATTCTTGGGCATGTTTTTTATTGCTATTGGGAGAAAATGATTTTTCTAGTTGTATCTTCTACTTGCTAATTGCTGATAATAGAGAAAAGTTATTTTTGTTTTTTATTATTTTGTGTTTTTTCTCATATGTTTTCAGTTTTAGGGGGTCTTAAAGATAGACTAAACTTGTCACAGAGCGCTTCTAATATGCTTATTCATGAACATATCATTTCAAAGCCCTGATATTATTCTAGAGCAGGGGTGTCAAACTCATTTTCACCAGGGGCTACATCAGCCCTGTGGTTGCCTTCAAAGGGCTCAGTGTAGAGCTCCTTGCCCCTAGTTAAGGAGCACTGACATTTATACAGTCCTAAAATTACATTCAGCCCTTTGAAGGCAGCCACGAGGCTAATATGGCCTGTGGTGAAAATAAGTTTGACACCCCTGTTCTAGGGTATGTTTGTAGTTTGAGATTAATCATAAATATCTTACTTGCATGAATATTTGTACATAATTATATCATTGAGTAAAAGTAGAAATATAGTCAACAGTTTAAAGTCACTTTGGAAAATGAACTAAAATCAAGAAAATTGGAATTTTTTCTCTTAAACTTTTCACAAAGAGAAACTGTAAACCAGAATTAGCAGGTTATCTTAGTTCTAAAATAGTATTTTTCTCTCTTCAGGAAGTAGTTCTGAAAGATGGCAGGATTGAAAGACTAAAGTTGGAACTTGAAAGGAAAGATGCTGAAATCCAGAAACTGAAAAATGTGATCACTGAATGGGAGGTTTGTAAACTAGTAATCTGTATAGTTTCTGTTTTTCTTATATGTAAATATGTTTAATGTTTGAATGATAGAAATAATGTTTCTTCTGTTTAGATTTTTAAATTAATTAATGATATAAAATTGGAATAATTGATTTATTTTATGGTAAAATATATATAACATTAAATTTGCTGTTTTAACTATTTTAAGTGTATGAGTCAATAGCATTAAGCACCTTCGTAATGTTGTATAGCCATCAACATTGTCTTTTTTCAAAACTTTTCATTCTTCCAAACAGACTCTTGAACCCATTAAACAGCTCCTTATTTCTTATTCCCTGCAGCCTCTGGTAATCTTTAGTCTCTGTGATTTTACTTATTCTGGGTACTTCATATAAGTGGAATCATATAGTACTTGTTCTTTTGTGTCTGGCATATTTCATTTAGCATAATGTTTTCAAGGTTCATTCTTGTTTTAGCATGTGTCAGAATTTCATTCATTTTTATGACTGAATAATACGCCATTGTATGTATATACCACACCTTGTTTATTCATCTACTGATGGACATTTGCATTGTTTTCACCTTTTGGTTATTGTGAATAATGCTGCTATGAACATTGGTGTACAAGTATCTGAGTCCCTGCTTTTAATTCCTTCGGTTATATAACTAAGATTGGAATTGCTGGGTCATGTGGTAATTCTACATTTAAATTTTTTAGCAATCACCAAACTTTTCCATTAACAGCTATACCATTTACCTTCCCATTAACAGTGCACAAGGGTTCCAGTTTTTGCACATGTTCCCTAACACTTGTTAATTATACAAGTTATGTTAACTATAAACCTACTTATTATTCTCTTTCTTCCTTTCCTTAGGCTTTAAAAAAAGCCTATTTATTCATCTCAAGTATCTTTCTGGGCTGTGCATATATAATAGAGAAGAAAAGATAAATCAAATTCTGCCCTAATGAGTCTTCATTTTCTTTCTTCCTTAATTCCCACCCCTTTCCCTTAGCTTTTTCTTTGTTGCTTATATTTTTCTTAGCATTTGTTGAGCACATAACCATGTCCCAGACAAGAGAATACAAGGATGAATTAGCAAGATAGTCTAATGGGAAAGATAAACATACAAGTAATTGCAGCATAGACTTTATCATTGAGATTTGACTGAATGCCCCAGAGCACAGAAACAGGAATGAATTAATTTTTGCTATTGAAAATTGGTAAGGACATTACAGAAAAGATGGGGTTTCCAAGTTGAGAGAATAGTGCATACAAAGGCATGGAAATGGTAGGAAATACATTGTTGCTGACATTTAGAGAAATGGGAAGTTGTAGAACAGGGGGGGTCAAACTCATTTTCACTAAAGGTCACATCAGCCTCACAGTTGCTTTCGAAGGGCTGAAATAATTTTAGGACTGTATAAATGTAACTACTCCTTAATTGTTAAGGAGTTGAAATTACAGTCAGTCCTTCGAAGGCAACCGTGAGGCTGATGTGGCCCCTGGTGAAAATGAGTCTGACATCCCCGTTGTAGAACATGAAATTGGAGATGTTAACTAGGGTCGGAATCTAGAAGGCAATTGACATGAAAATTGCTTTTCGCAATGGTATGCACATAGCTGAGGGCCTGGATTGAACATAATCTGGTAAAACAATTAACAGGTATTGAGTGTAAGAGCAGGAGTACATTTTGAACTAGTTTAGGTGGTGGAAATAATAGACCTCATTTTGGATATGTTGAGTATGAAGTAGCTATGGATGCAGCATAGGTATTTAGGATACAGTAGAGCACAGTGGAGTCAGCATATTTGCATTTATTTAACTTAACTTTAATTACTCTCTTTCATGAAATTAAAAACACCAGTAAGGGCACTGTATATTTTATTTGTGCTATTTATTATAAATCACATGGTACTAGCATTTTATAATTTTGTTTTTATAGATAATTTACTACTTATAATTGTGTATATTAAATGTTATTTTAATGGACAATTGAAAGAATTTTCATGGGTAATGTTTCTCACTTGCAATTTTTACTTTAAGTGCTGATTTCAGACACTAAGGCTGCTCTAAGAGATGACTCCATGTATACTGATCTGGACTTTGAACAAAAGGCTTGTGCTAGAGATAATTTGCTGAAATACTAACATTGAAACCCTGATAGTTAGAATTTCATAAGATACAGTTACATATTCACAATGGATAGATTTCTTTATTCATAGTGAATATAGCTACAGTTGACTATATAAGGTTTCTTCTTCATATTTTTATGTTCCCATCTGACTTACCTTTTTTATTCGTTTTTAAGATGCTCAGGAATCCTACTCCCTTTTAGTTATTATTGTGCTTGCTTCTGTTCAGTGCATCAGCAATTTACTCAGCAGTGTATTTAGTAAAATCCATCTTTATTGGAGTTGACTTTAAAATACATTAAATTTGTTTTACAAGAAAGACTTTGAATATGGTAACCTCTGTACATATATCTTTGTACATGATGAAAGAAGAAACTAGTTTCTTATACTGATCTGTTTCTCTGATTTCTTATTTTTCTATAATGTATTAAATGTTTTGTTTTTTTAATGCATTAAGTATAAGTAATTCAGAGCATTGAATAAATGTAGTTTAGAGTGAATATTCTTTGGAATATGGAGGTTAATGTGGAAACACAGTTTCTCTTGTTCATAAATGTAATTGTGTCATTTATGCAGTCTGAGAAGAAGCTAAACCATTGGAGAAAAAAATTAAAAATACTTAAAAGATATTTTAGTAAATTAGTCATTCATATCAGTGAAAAAATAATTTTCACAAGTTATTAAAATAATATGTTAGTACATTTAATCTTAACTGAGAACACATGGCTGTGCTGTATAATTTAGTAGCCACTCTATTTGTGTACCAAAATTTAAAGTTAAATAAAATAAAAAATGTATTTTCTCAGTCACACTAGGTGCATTTCCAGCAGTTAACAGTCATATAGTAGACAGTGGCAGATATGAAGCAGATACATAAAATTGTAGTGTAATACTGGATACTCATGGTATAGAGCTATGAATCATTTTTCTTTTTGTTTTCATCACATTATTTTAAAATGCTAAGGGTTTTATTTGAGGAAGGAAAGAAAAAAGCTTCGGGAAAATTTAATATTCTGAGTTTTCTCCACTTTTATTCTTCTCTTTTATTTTTCAGTCACCTATAATACTAATTTCTATTATCATCCCAGGTATTTAATTTAAGTAATAGACAGTTCTCAATACACTTTTCCTCATCCTGTTTCTTTCAGAAGTGACTTAAGTCTTTGGGCAAGCTAAGAACGCATAGATTCATAAATTGATAGTAAATCATCATATAATTTACTTGACAAAATTAAATCTTTTTTCTTTGATTATTAGGCAAAATATAAAGAAGTGAAGGCAAGAAATGCACAGTTATTGAAAATGCTTCAGGAAGGTGAAAGTAAGTAATTTGGGGGGTTTTAGAATTAAAAGTTAATCTTAAAAAATATTTGAAGATAATTTTTCAAGATACATGATTAACTGAACAAAATAAAAAGGTTTCCCAGAGTGATGCAAACTGAATTGTTGCTGGTAAATTTTTATTACAAGTCACTCTTACAGTACCTTAGATATTATACACGTTTATAATTATTCATATCAGAGAAATCTTGAAATTTCAATTCTTATAAATTATTAGACTGCAGTTAGCAGGAAAATAAGAATAATATTTGCTTAAGATTCTACTTTTTTTATTGTTGTCTAAGTACAGTTGTCTCCATTTTCCCCTCACCATTCTCCCCTGCCCCACCCACCTCCACCTCCCACTCTCAGTCCTACCCCCACTTTGGCTCTATCCATGGGTCCTCCATTTGTGTTCCTTGACAACTCTTCCTCATTTCCCCCCTGTAAGTTGATGTATGAAAATCCCAATTAATCAGTTCCATTCCTGATTATGTTTACTTACTGACACAACCCTGAAAGTTCTACAAAAATTGTTCATTCATTATAGAAAAAATGTGTATAAATTTTTAATATAAGGTTATACAAACGAAATTAAAAAGACAAAGTCATGAATAAATGAGAAAATCTAAATAGACAAAATTAAGTCTGGTAAACAGTTTTTCCTGTTAATATATATTAATAAAACATCAAATATAGCTCCTATATCTCTGAACCCTCTCCCACATACAGCACCACAATACCCTGCCTGGCAAATACCTAAGGCTCCACCCCTTACTACATAACAGGCAGACAGAGACAAAAAATATGGCCCAAAGGAAATAACACATCAAAGCTCCAGAAAAAATACAACTAAGTGATGAAGAGATAGCCACCCTATCAGATGAACAGTCTAAAACACTGGTAATCAGGATGCTCACAGAAATGGTTGAGTGTGGTTGCCAAATAGAGAAAAAAGCGAAGGCTATGAAAAGTGAAATAAAGGCAACCAACAGTGAAGGGAAGGAAACCAGGACTCAAATCAGTGGTTTGGACCAGAAGGAAGAAAGAAACATTCAACCAGAACAGAATGAAGAAATAAGAATTTTAAAAAAATGAGGGGAGGCTTAGGAACCTTCAGGACAACTAAATGTTCCAACACCTGAACCATAGGGGTGCCAGAAGAAGAAGAAGACCAAGAAATTGAAAACTTATTTGAAAAGATAATGAAGGAGAACTTCCCCAGTCTGGCAAAGGAAATATACTTCCAGGAAGTCCAGGAAGCTTAAGAGAGTCCTAAAGAAGTTAGACCCAAAGAAGCACACACCAAGGCACATAGTAATTACATTACCCAAGATTAAAATGAAGGAAAGAATTCTAGAAGCAGCAAGAGATAAGGGGACAGTCACCTACATCAGACTGTCAGCTGACTTCTCAAAAGAGACCTTGCAGGTAAGAGGGGACTGGAAAGAAGTATTCCAAGTCATGAAAGACAAGGACCTACATCCAAGATTGCTCTATCCAGCAAAGGTTTCATTTAGAATGGAAGGGCAGATAACATGCTTCCCAGATAAGGTCAAATTAAAGGAGTTCATCGTCACCAAGCCCTTATTACATGAAATGTTAAAGGGACTTATCTAAGAAAAAGAAGATAAAAAATACAGTAAAATGACAACAAACTATCAACAGCTGAACCTAAAACAAAACAAAACAAAACAAAAATAAACCAAGCAAACAACTAGCACAGGAACAGATTAACAAATAGAGGTCACATGGAAGGTTATCAGCGGGGAGGGGGTGGGGGGAGAATGGGGGAAAGGTATTGGGAGTAAGAAGCATAAATGGTAGGTAGAAAAAAGACAGGGGGAGGTTAAGAATCTTATGGGAAATGGAGAAGCCAAAGAACTTATATGTATGACCCATGGACATGAACTAAGGTGGGGTGGGGGGGATGTTGGAGGGGTTACAGGGCAGAGGGGAATAAAGGGGAGGAAAAATGGGACAGCTGTAATAGCATTAGTGAATAAAAAATAGAAAGATATAACTCCTGTTATACTCTGTAGTGCTTAAGAAGTGTGAAACTCACTTTGAAGAATAAGTAAATAAGGCCAAATAATATTTCAAATATGAAGATACTAGGAGTGGAATTGTCCAACCAAAATTTAAATTATATTATTAAATAACAGTTATCAAGAAAATGAGTAAAAGCCAGAAATCCTGTCCAATTTAACAGAATACAGGCTTGAAGTAGATTCAGACTCACTTTTTATGACTTTTCTATTTTTTATGACTGTAACTATTATATAACTGAACTATGATGAAATAGAAGTTAAAGAGTGATGAGGAAAGGCATTATTTGAAAAGTTGATATCAACTTCCTGAGATTCACTGAGATCAGTTCATGTTATTGAGTTTACGTGGATCATTTAATGAATAAAATTATGAAAATAAAATAAATGTTTACAAGGTATGTTTCTAATTGAGTAAATTAAGGATATCACTGGATGCATGTTTTTTAAATGTGAAATAAATATTCCTTAGCTAAAAAAACATTGTAAAAGTTGAAAAAATTAACTGATAAAAGCTTATTCTGAATAACAGATTAAAAATGGCAACCAGTAGATAAAATTGGTGTACATACTCATACTATAAATAATCCAAGTAGAAAAATTTGATATAGGACCATTACATGAAAAATACAGTACATAAGGTCTGTGGGGAAAGTGGAGTTAGAAGCATACAATGGTAAAAACTTTCTCAGTGAAATATTTTTAAAAGATGGGCATATAATAAAAACTGCGTAACAGTTATAGACAGTTATAGTTTTACCTCTTCAGTTTCTCTTAGCTTGTTTTCTCCCTCTTGTTTTAAAATTGTAGAATTAGATTTTCATTTAGCAGTCATTATCATGGAATTTGTCAGCAATGTGGAAATTTTTAATGCTTAGGAAATGTAGGGACCAAAATAATAGATCTCTTCTTCCCCAAAGACAAAAAAAATCTCTAGACAAATGAATAGTTCTGAGAGACCACAGGTGTTATATGATCAGCTGTGTCACAGGCAGTACATTTATTTGACAGTGTTTTATTTGTATAAAAATAATATAAAATTTTTTTGCAGGCCTTATGGTGTACTTACCCTGGCAATTTAATAAAACAAAGAGAAACACTACATTTTTAATTTTTATTTTATTTTTTAGAGATTTTATTTATTTATTTTTAGAAAGAGGGGAAGGGTAGGAGAAAGGGAGGGAGAGAAACGTCAATGTGTGGTTGCCTCTCACATGCCCCCTACCTGGGACCTGGCCCACAACCCAGGCATGTGCCCTGACTGGGAATTGAACTAGTGACTCCTTGGTTCGCAGGCAGCACTCAGTCCACTGAGCTGCACCAGCCAGGGTCACTGTACATTTTTTTAAATATTGAAGATTAATCAAGGTAGTTAAAGTTTTCTTTCTACATGAATTTTTTTATTGTGCCCTTGTCCTTTTTACTCTTTCACTCTATTTGCGCAATTAATATTTTAATGCTATAGAAAATGTAAAATTTCCAGCAACACTGCTGTGGTGATAATCAGAATTTGCCATTGAAAAATAAGAGCTTTATAGGGTAGAAATACATTCATTAAATATGAGGACAATTATATTAGCCCGACTGCATTGCTATCTTGGGTCAGTAATGTATTGTTAAATTATTTGAGTGACTGAAAATATTATACTATTATTTTTCCTTTTCTTGTCAGTGAAAGATAAAGCAGAAATACTTCTGCAAGTTGATGAATCACAAAGTATCAAGAATGAGCTGACTATACAGGTAAGGGAAACTATACAAGACTGATGTTCTTAAGCTGTGCTTTAGTCTTGAATTATGAAACTTAACTAAACAAAAATATAGCTATTGACACTGCAACAAAGTCATATAAATTGGTAAACACACAGTACAATATATAGATGTTGTATTATAGAATTGTACGCTTGAAACCTATATGATTTTATTAACCAATGTCACCCCAATACATTCAATAAAAAACACCAAAAAGAAAGTAATATAAATGATACTTCATTATTGGTATTCAATATGTATAGCAAGTGAATGAAGATTCTGTTTACTGTGTAAGGGAGGTAGGTATTTCCTGAAGAATAAGGGAAATTAAGGTTGTATTTTTGGTGATATGGACCATGAATATAGAGGTAGAAAGGGCAGGCAGAACTTATCTTGCTCTTGGACTTGATTTTCTCTTCTTCCCATCCTTATTCTGTCGTGTTAGAACAATGAGCTTGTCTTAGCTATCTCTAATTTACAGCTAAGTAAAATGTCTAATTGAAAATTGGGGAGGTGAGGAGGGTTCTTCTCTGATGCTCATTTATCCGATAGTCAAAAATCATTATTGTGAATAAGTAATAATAATTAAAGTTATTATATGTATGGTGCCAGGTGGCTGGTACTAGAAATGCTGAGGGGAACATTTTGTAAAGTATATGACTGTCTAACCACCATGCTGTTCACACCTGAGACTAATACTATATATATATATATATATATATATATATATATATATATATATATATATAAACATTCAATATTTTATATTGAATATAAAATCAATATTTTATGTTGATTTTAGCAATATTTTATATTGAATCATATATATATATGATTACACAAAGCTAAAAAGTGAATTAAGAGTATTTGCCTAAAAACACAATGAAATTCTTTTTTTTAATTGAATATTTGGTTATAGGTGGCTTCACTCCATGCTGCATTAGAGCAAGAAAGATCTAAAGTGAAAGTTTTACAAGCAGAGTTAGCCAAATACCAGGTATGCTTTTATAATTTTGACAGTGTTTTCATCATAAATAATACATTTGAAATAGATGCTATGTGATTGAATAACTGCACTATCTTAGGCCAAAATTTATTCACCAGAAATATTAATTTTGTTAAATTTGTTATATAATACACATTTTTTAAATGTAAGGTTATTCTAGGTGTTGGTATTAACTAAAGTATTAGCAGTAACTAAAGTATTTCAGAAAAATCCTTGCTACTACATAGATGATATGGCATCCATGCCATTGACTCATACTGAGGAAAGGCATGTAATGACATTTGTCCCATTATATAAGTTTAATCACTTAGGTATAGAAATATCTTTTAGATGTCTTCTTTGTAAAAGTATATTTTCCATTTTGTAATTAATAAATGATATGTGGAGTGATACTTTGAGATTGTGCTACTATCCTTTTCTTTTTACCCAATGGTTTAGCATCCATTGATGATATTTGTAGCAGTTATTTTGATGGTTGCAAAATAGTGACTTTTCTAATTGTGTCATTTCTTCTGCATTCACAAGCTGGCATTCAGCATTTTTTTCTGGATGGCGCAGTAAAAAATATCAGTGCTTTTTTTCAGTATATGTGTATGTGTACATGTGTGCATATATAAATACACACATTTATTTGTATGTATGTATGTGGGTCTAACTCATGACATAAAATGTGTTGATTAAGGTGGGGTCATAGTCAGAAAAAGTTTGAAGGCCACTGGTGGCCTATAGAACATTAAAGTTGTTTACCCCCAGCTTTGATATCAGTCTGGGAGGGAAAATTTGCCTGGGAGGCTCTGAAAATGATTTTTGAAATTTTTTGTGTGTTTTTTTAATCTTGTTCAGGAGCAAGGTAAGATTTTTAAGCTGTAAAACATTGGTAAATTAATTTCTGTTTTCTTGCTAACAGAAAGTAAATCTTGTTTTTAATACATATCACACACATCTCAGGTCCCATATAACCTTTTAATACTTATTTTCTCTGAATGAATTCTTGCAGAGCTTTCATTTGTCCATAAATAACAGTGTCTCAGACTTGATTTTTTTAAAACAAAGGTTGATAGAGAAATGTTTTGATCACTAAGAGAAAAGTTATATGCTGAAAAAAACAAAAAATATTTAAAAAAAAAACACAGAGAAGCCGCCACCATTATTAATTTGGCCTGGGTTTCAAGTGCCCCTGATATAACCACCATTTTCAGAAAGGCACTTTCCCAGACTTGGCTGATCATCAGAATCACTTGGGAGCTTTTTGAATTAGATAGTTTTGACCATCCCTGGTAATTGTGAATAAATAGGTCTGAGACAAATTCTAGACATCAGAATTTTTAAAATATTACTACACAGGTGATTCTAATGATCAATTAAATTTGGGCACCAAATGATCAACTAAATATCTGATAAAATGTCTAGACAAAACTTGCATTATAAATTGAATTACCCAAAAGGGTAATGAACTGAATTACTAAATTTGCTGACCATATGGAATAAATTGTTTTAGAATTGATCAAAATTTTTATTTTAAAAACAATCTGGGACAGTCTAAAAGAACTTTAAAAAATAAGATATTTGTGATTTTACTAAATCTAGGCTAGTTCCAATAGATGTAATTGATTTTTACAACTACTTTAACTATTTTTAAAAATAACCCTGTAGAAATAATTTAGTAGAATGCACATTCAAATTTGCAACAAACTCAAAAAGGAAATTGCTTCCTTCTCATACTCAAAAATGCCTTCAGTTTCATATATTCTTAATTTGCAAATGCCCCAGAATGGTATTTCCTCAATAATTTGCCCTATTTTTTTTTACAGGGTGGCAGAAAAGGGAAAAGAAACTCTGAATTCGACCAGTGTAGGTGATTGCATTGGCCTTTGAGGTCAACACAAAAATAAAAGTTTTCAGGGTTTGGCAAAATGTATATATTTAATGCTGTACAACTGCTAAGCTATGCAGTTTTTGTTAAAGAAATACTTAAAATAATTAGCTTACTAACAGTCTATAATTTTTGGTTTTTGGCTTAAAGTGAGAAGAAGAAAAACAGAATTCCAGCAGAATGCAATGATTATTGTTTACTATTCATACTTCATATCACTTTAGTTTTTCATCAGTCAATAAAATTAATTTACTCTTCCATTAATATGTTTGGTTTTTGTAAGTTTCAGAGACAATGTGAAATTATTATTTTTGCTATAGCACAATTAATTGGATTTTTTTTAATTCAGTGAATATTTACTCAGACCTTTCTGCATGCTAAACCTGTGGGACATACAAGATGAGTGAAAAGTGGTTGATATACTCAAGTAGCTTATTCTCAGGGGAAACAGAAGGTGGAGGTAGGAAAGATAACAACAAAAATAATTATCATACAAATAAGAGTGTGATATCACAGTTTTTGGAAATTGAGAAAACTTGTATGAGATAGTTTTTCTGTAAATTTGTTGAAAAGCATCCAGGGAAAAGGAAGAAAATATGGGCTGAAATATTTGTTTAAAGAACAGTCTGGCTTGAGGACAGAAAAACGACATGCTGAGAATAGTGTTGATGTGGGGGAGAAATGAGAGATCTTTTGTTGGTATAACAATTACTAGAATAATTTGTAGTTTATGGCATTCATTTTTCAGTGTAGTCAGTGATATACAAATATGATACATTAAAGTACAAAGGACAAAGATTTTTTGGTTGTATAAAAAAGATGAATATATAAATAACTGCTTGTGACCTCCAAAACCAGCATTACATGAAAGATTCCACTTTATGACGGTCTTTGAAGAAAAAATACTTATTCAATAAATAAACAATATTGTTTTTATGTCTGGCTTCTTCCATGAGGTTACATGAACCTTGTAAATTTTGTTACTGATCTAAAGTAGGGGTTCAGCTGCCCACTGCCTCCAGTAGGCAAATTCTAGAGGCAGAGGCTAGTGAGAAAGCAAAGAGGTTTTTATTCAAATGATGTACAGTCTGGGAGAATGGCAGACTCTTGCCTCAAATCTCATCTTCTCCAGGAAACCCGGAGGAAAACTCAGCCATCCTCAGCCAGAGTAAAACCAAAGGCAGTGTCCAGAGTTCCTTCTCCTGTTTAAAGTACCATCCCTCGGGAACCACAGGTGGCCACTGAATGGTCATTCAGGCAGCTCAGCTTTTCTCTGGGCCACTGTCAGGCTTCAGGCTCCCTCCTGTAACCCACCTGTGGGCCTTGCTCTGCCATTGGCCATGCGGCTTCCAGGGCCAGAAAGTCTTACAAATGCACCAGCTGGTGTGTTACAGGGGTGGGTAAGAGCACATCCCTTCCCTCCCTTGGGATTTTATTAGTTTTGGGTTTAGGAAGGGCCAAGTACTTTCTCAGAAATATCCAGCTAACTTTCAAGTTTCTGCACAGTCTCAAAGGGCCCACCCCCAGACCAATCCCTTATTTTCTCCAGGCTAAACTGACAGGCTTCTTCAATCTAGCACCTGTTCCCCTGCTGCCATTCTGACCTTTATTGTGCATGTACTTGCCTTCCTGTGATCCCACCCTGAATTAGGTACCAGAAGGGGATAGAAGGGCTTTTCCCCCCATCCAGTTGTCTTGCCAGCCTTGCCAGCCTTGCATACTCAGTGCAATGCCTCCTTTTGGCCATTCATCTCTGGAGCAGGGGAGGAGTGTTTGCAAGACACAAGCTGGGATACCCGTGGCTCACTTGCTGCCTCCAGCTTGCAGTCTCCTCCAGTAGCCCCTTCTGTTCACTTGACTTCCATCCTTCTACCTGCTTCCAGCTGTCTGGCCAGGCTATTGATATCAGTTGTGACCTACTCCCTATATTCTCAGTGCATAGTTCTCTATGTGGCACAGAGGAGCTGCTAAAGAATTATTTGTTCAATAAAGTAGTAAAGCTATTTGAGATAGTTTTTCTCTAATTTTACCTTTAAATAAAATCAAGTACTATCAGAACCTAGTTAATTAATTAATTAAGTATATATATAGTAATTCCACAATACTGTATTTTTCACCTCAGGGATTAACAAAATCAAATTTCTAATGCTGTTTAACATGAGCAAACTAGACAGAACTTGAATCAGAATAGTTTCAGTTATAATGGAATTACCTAAGTAGTTAATTAACTGAATTATTAAAGCATACTATATTACCATCTGCTTTGATTATCTGCCTACATATTATCTATTTTGGTATATTATATAGCATCTAGCACAGTGCCTGGCACCTGATAAACACACAACAGATATTTTTTTACTAGTGTGTATCATTTAACATCTCCTGGGCACATAGAAAACTTCATTGATTATCCTCTTTTGTTCTGGGCAGTCTCTGGAGTGTTATATTCATAGCTCTGTTTTCCCCCTGAATTATTTTTTTCTTGACTGATATATCCATTCCTCTGGCTTAATCTATCACTTTTAGGAAAGTATATCAGTTTCAACAGGAAAAGGTTTATTTATTTAGAGACCGTCAGTGAGCAGTTGGTTATTTCTTCTGTTAAATTGATTTCTCAGGCATTCCCTTTTAATAAATACCATTACTAAGATTCTTTTCAGTCAATTTATAAAATCAGTTTATAGGGAAACAGCAGTAGAATTGATGAAGCCAAGAATCAAATCAATGATTTGGAACATAAGGAGGCAAAAAACAACCAATCAGAACAACAAGAAGAAAAAAATCCAAAAAAATGAGAATACTGTAAGCACCCTCTGGGACAACTTTAAGCATTCCAACATTTGCATCATAAGGGTACATCATAATTAAAATGCCAAAGGTTAAAGATAAAGAGAGAATCTTAAAAACAGTAAAAGAAGTTAGTTACCTACAGGGGAGATCCCATAAGACTGTCAGCTGGTTTCTCAAAAGAAATTTTGTTGGCTACAAGGGATTGGCAAGAAATATTCAAAAGTCATGAAGAGCAGGGATCTACAACCAAGATTGCTTCACCTAGCAGATTTATCATTTAGAATTGAAGGGCAGATAAAGAGCCTCCCCAACAAGAAAATACTAAAGGAGTTAAATCATCACGAAACCATTATTATATGAAATGTTAAAGGGGTTTATTTAAGAGAAGATCAACACTATAAATAATAAAATAGCAATAAATATATACCTATCAACAATTGAATGTAAAAAATAAACTAAGCAAACAAGAAGAAGAGAGACAGAATCATGGATCTAGAGAATGTTTTGATGTTGCCAGATGAGAGGAGGGTGTGGGGGAATGGGTGAAGAGGTGAGGGGATGAAGAAATACAAATAGGTAATTACAGAATAGCCATAGTCATGCAAAGTACAGTATAGGAAATGGAGTAGCTAGGGAACTTATATGCATGGCCATGGACATGAATAATGGTGTGTGGATTACCTGAGGAATTTGGGGGATGCTGGATGGAGGGGGGCAAAGAGGGAAAAATTGGGATTATTGTAATCACATAATCAATAAAATCCAATTTTACCAAGTTCCCCATATTTATTTTTCAGCATATGGCTTTTTCATTTTGTTTTTGAAGTTTTTAATATACTGAAGTTTTTTATTTTACTGCAGTTAACTGTGCCAGTATTTTTAAAAATGATTTGTGCTTGTGTTTTATTTAAGAACTCCTTCACTAGCTTGTAAAAGCTATTAAATTTTGCTTTCCACATTTAGGTTGCCAATTCCACACATAAAGTCCCTTTGCCCCACTCAGGCTATGACACCATCTGCCAATGTGTACATTAATACAGCCATACGTTTCAGGGGTTACAGCTTGCTTATGCACAATTGAAATTGGATGTACACACGTTTAATCTTTCAAGAAACCTAGGACTTTATTTTGTAAACAGTAGAGAATCTTCGCCTAAATTTAGTTGGGGAATATAAGAAGGTCGTATGTATTTCTGATACATAGTCAAGATAATCATACTAGTACATTGTCAAGTCTATTCTCCAGAGAAACAGAGCCAATAACATATATATGGAAAATATATATGGAATATATATATGTATGTATGTATGTATATAAAATAAGGAGTTGGCACATGCAATTACAGAGGCTGAGAAGTTCATCTGGAAACCCAGGAAATCCTGTTGTGCAGTTCTGAGAAACAAAGGGCCTTCGTTACAAGGGCCAAAGGGCCTGTTGTAAGTACTAGTTAAGGAGTGCAGGAGAAGACTGCTGTCCCAGCTTAAATGGTCAGTCAGAGAGAATTCAACCTGCCTGCCTTTTTCTGTTAGTCCTTGAAAAGGCTGGATGGTGTCCACTCACAATTGGGAAGGCCATTGGCTTTACTGAGCCTACCAGATCAAATGTTAATCTCATCCAGAAAACCCTCAGAGACAAACCCAGAAATAAAGTTTAGTCTGGGCACTGGGTGTTCCAATCAAGTTGAACCATAAATTTAACCATCAAGTCTTACAGTTGACTTTTTTGTAAGCCTTAGTACTTAAGTGACTTTACTTTTCTGTAACTGTAAATTCTGCCATCTCTTGATTTAATTCATGCTAATTTATGAGAATCTTATTCTTTAGAACAACATGGGCCAAATCTGGCCTGCTGCCTGTTTTTCTACCTGTTTTTCTATAACCTGCCAATTAATAATCTTTTTTTACATTTTTAATAGTTAAAAAAATGAAGAGAGTAATAATACTTCATGACACACAAAATTATATGAAATTCAAATTTCAATGTATATAAATGGATTTTATTGTAATACCTGTTTGTTTTTACACTGATTTGTTTACATATTGTTTATGGCTGTTTAGTGTTACAGGATCAGAGTAGTTGCAATAGAGATTGGTTGCATGTTATGCAAACTTAAAATCTTTTCTAACTGGCCCTT